ACACCTCAATATACAGGAAACCCACTGACAGATGCAACTACCTTCACAGTTCCAGCGTCCACCCCCAACACACGAAACGTGCCATCATACACAGTCAGGCCATTAGATACCACCGAATATGTTCTGACCCAAGAGACAGAGATAAACATCTCGGGACACTAGCAGACTCCTTCCATAAGAAAGGTTACAAGGACAAAACTATCAACAACAGCATAAACATAGCCTTGAGAACCCAAAGGGAAAATCTACTTCAGTACAAAGAGAAAAAAACAAACAACCGTGTACCTCTAGTAACCACATACAACCAGCACTAGAAGGAATACGAAAAATAATCAAAGATTTACAACCCATCATAACAGAGGATGGAACTCTGAAAGAAATATTCCACCAACCATCAATACTGGCCTTCAGACAACCCCCCAACCTCAGAAATAAACTAATCAGTAGGAAACTTCCTTCTGATTATGAGGTCACAAATAATGGAAGCAAACCCTGCAATAAAAAACGCTGCAAACTGTGCAACCAAATCAATCCATCAAAAAGTGTCAGACACTCAAAAGGGATCTTCAATATCTCCGGATCATACAGCTGCACCTCTAGTAATGTTGTGTATCTTATCCAGTGCAGAAAATGCAGCAAAGGATCTTATGGTGGCGAAACAGGACAGAAGTTGCAAACAAGGATGAATTTGCACAGACATACCATCAAGGAACATAAAGAAGATGACTTCTGCACACCTGTGGGACACCATTTCGCACAACCAGACCACACTTTGGGAGACCTCAATATTTTAGTTCTTAAAGGAAACTTCAAATCCATTCAGGAAAGAAAAACGTTTGAACTAAAAATGATAATTCTATTTGACACAAGAGATAACGGCCTGAATTTGGACATGGGATTCCTCAGTCATTATCCAACAGTTTTATGACTATCACCTCAGGCATGATTGCCTCTGTGAGTGTTGTCTCCCCCCCCACCCCAGACTTTGCTTTTGCTGTGTTTTATCTCTGTTCTTTTTTTTTTTTTCCATCCCCTACATCTCTTCTAACATTCTGCTAAACCTTTGTGCTCAGTACTGTTTGAACCTGAAGAAGGGGACATTCCCCGAAAGCTTGTCCTCAAAATTGTTTGTTAGTGCAAATAAAAAAAGTATCATGGACAGTACTCAATTGTTTCTGTGAGTTTTTTATTAACATGAAACAATATATCCGATGCAAGGTCCACCTTAAAGTAAAAATCCCTAGGTAATCTGTACCCTGTGTCTGTATTAATAAAGTGAAAACGTGATTTTTCTTAAGCTGTGTGAAACTCCAGGTGACAAATACTGAGACCTTTAAAGGGATCGAGAAAATACACATCTCCAGACAGAACACAGCTGCTAAAAGGTTCATAAGCCAAACTTCATTAGGCCCTGATCCCTGGCACTGCGGTGGGATTGTGCGTTGCCGGCTAACAAATGTCTTAAATTGTAGGAAGAGCGCAGTACAGGGAATTGTGGTTTATGAATCCAGGCCTTGGTGAGGAAAATAAAAATTCTCTCTAACAAAGCAAGGCATGAGGACATTATTGTGCAGCCGTGTACCCCCAAAAGGCCTTACTCTATCATGTGTAGTGTGCAGTATAAAACAAAGCAATAAAATAGCCTTTTCGGTGTAGGTTACTTTGTTTGATACTATGGTCTCATTTCTTTCAATGGACAGTATACTAATTTCATATGGGGAATGATCACCAACATTCTGAAATATACATTTTGGAATCATTTACTGTATCACTGTGGTGAGTTTACAGAAAACAGATAAACTGTACTCCATTTCATAAACTACTGAACAGAACCATTAAAGATCATCATAAGGGGGACCCCTGCTTAAGACTGTAGTGTATTATTTGAGTTAACTTGAAATATTTGAGTTAATATTGTAAAATGTACTCTACCTGAAAGTACTTTTAAAAAAAAAGCTTGCATGCTGTGAGAGGAATAAATAGGCTCAAACTATCAGCGGCGACTGTGGGGTTGCGCTACATACAGATTTGTAAATGCTTCCTCTAGTGGTCATCTGTGTATCAAGGATTGTGGCTGGCATTCCCTATTTAAAAGTGTGTCTTAAGCCAAAACTTTTTTTGTAGTTTTGGGTAGAGTGGTGAGAGGTTAAAGCTCTGATGTGTATTTCTCTGTGTGCCCCCACTGCAGGGATTTACTCAATATTTGTCCTGTTGACCAATGGTCTCCAAACTGCGGCTCGAGGGCTGGATGAGGCCCTTTGCTTGCCTTTTCTGGCCCTTGGGACACTATTTCATCCACTGTTACCAATAATGAGGCATAATTCCCCCCCCCACTGACACCAACTAAGGGGCACAGTTCCTTCCAATGACACCAATGATGGGGCACAATTCCTCCCAATGACACTAATGATGGGGCACAATTCCTCTCAATGACACCAATGAGGGGGCACAATTCCTCCCAATGACATCAATGAAGGGGCACAGTTCCTCCCACTGACGCAAACAATGTGTCGCAATTCTTCCCACTGACACCAAAAATGGGGCACTATCCCTCCCACTGACACTACAGATGGGGGCATTGTCTATTCTCACTGACGTTGGGTTGTTTTCTACTCTCAATGGCCACAGTTTGGCCCCCCAAAAGTCTGAAGGACAGTAAACTGGCCCTTTATTTAGAAAGTTTGGAGACCCCTGCTGTTGACCATTGTTCACAGCTGACAGTGACGGGAAATACAGCATTTGGAGTTGTTTTTGGAACAGGAATAGAGGCAAAATCTTCCAATGGAGACACGTGAAATGGTTGCATCTGTGCATTAAAGGATGCCCCTTCTTTTGGGGAGATCTCCTCTCACTACCTGTTTTGCCTTGAGATTTGCAGAGAAGGAAAATCTCCTCTATGCTAGGTACAATGAAAAAAAATCATACAGGAGTTTTAACTATTAGCAAATCTAAAATCTTAACCTCTTGGCGCCGGCCACACACAAATGTGAGGCCTCCCGGCATCTGGGCCTTGACACCGAGCGGCCGCACATTTGCATGCAATTAAGAAAAACATATGTGCTGAGAGCGCACGCCCTACACGCTTCCAGCACACATGTCCGGTACTCACGGAAAGGTCCCAATCTCTTTCAATTGGGACCTTTCCCAATCATGTGACCGCCGGGACCCTAAAACCCCGAATCGCCTCCTGGCTTCTGAAACCCTTAAAGGGCCGGGAAGCGCAGCACCAAGGGGTTAAAGACTGTTGAGATAAGGTTGGTTAAGCTGACCTTACCTAACTTAAACTACTCATCTTTGAGTGACCTTTCAGCACCACCTGGGTTGACAAAGGCCACCTGAAAAATTTAAGGAACTGGTTGGAAAATTTTCAATTACGTGCAGTCAATCTTTGGATATTGAAACAGCCATTCATGCCAGAAATGCTTGAATACAATCAGCTGTAAAATATTGGAAGAATGCCACAGTAATTGAATAGGTCCAAAAGGGACATAATAAAGGTAGAAAGCCCAACATGTTTTAGTTGCTAAAACTCCATGAGCACAATGCATTACGTCTCTACTAGATTGCAATTCACATAAAGAATGTGAAGACAGTAACATTCAAGTGCCTGTTACTCAGACCTGGCAGGCCTCACAACAAAGTCATTACCAGGTTTTAAACAACAAAAGCCATTACAGTATTAAACAAAAAAAGTGTTTCTGATAGCATATATCCCATGCCCCAGTGGCACCACCTATACTTTATGTGGTTTCTAGACCCTTCAGTTATGTTGGGATATTCTAATGTGGGGCTATGCCAGTGACAACAAGCCCCGAGTAGATTAGTTTAACATTGGACCCAACAGATTTACTTTGAGCCCTTCAAACACATCTTAATGTAAACCTGTCATGAGAGCAGAGCATGGAGGCTGCCATTACTGAGTTGACCTTCCAGAAATTCTGACCGAAAACAAGTATTTATGACAGTATCTGACTTTGATATTTATTACGGGGTCAGCAACTAAGAAAAAATGGACATGGAATGACAGCCAAGCAAGCACCATTTTCACTTGAGGGTGGAGGCAGAATTTAGAGGACTGAGTGGTCATCTGCTAGTTCATTTCTCTAGGGGGCACCAGTAATGAGGTCTCCCAGTCATATTTCCTTGCTCTCTTTCTACATCTTCTGATCAGTGGTATAGGGACTGTTGTACCAGGTGAAGCTGAGATTGGGCCACTGCTTTTGGGGATAGGAAAGGGTGACAGAGTGCTTGTGCCCCACCCTTTGATGGGAGTCTTGTATTGCCTCCCCCAGTTTTTCCCCTTGCCTCATTCTGGCATGAAAGATCACATGACCATGCATGTAGTTAGGGGGAGGAAGGGAGCAGTAAAGGGGGAGGGGGGCAACAAAAGGGGTGGAGGTAACTGGGGGGGGGAATAGGAAAGTTTGGGCATTATACGGTGGTTAGTTCTTAAACATCCTCCAAACACTAAAACATCAGTTTTATTGGACGGTTTATTTGGGATCTGTGTTACAAATATTCACTGTGTCTTAAGCATTTGCACAAACTCAACAAATGATTGCCATCTTTTTTTGTAATATAATTATCTCCTATGGTCGTCAGTTCCATCTAGTGAACAAAATGTGGCACTTTTTTTTTTAGTTGTTTCAGAAAAATACTGCATTATGGCCATTAGATGGAGATGATGGCCACAGGTGATCATAGGTGGTAGTGGGAGTAAGCGAGCAGTAAAGGAGGTGGGGCAGCAAAATGGGTAACTGGGGGGAATAGTAAAGTTTGGACATTATAGGGTGGTTCATTCCTAAGTAAATAAAGAGAGAGAAAGTGCCACTGACTGCAGAACGTTATACACTTTATTAAAACAATGCTGTAAATTTGCACTCACATTTTTGAAGATAAATACATGCACATCTGAAGTCCAGGATCGGTATGCATGGGCTGCAGGTAAGGGCATCTGGTTTCAAGGTCCATAAGCCAGCTGAGAGATGGAACAGGACCGGAACACTGCTGTGATGTGCGGTGGAACGTAGGTGAAACACAGCATTCAGCGTTACTGCATCACTGGAAGTGATGCATCAACGTTTCGTATCAGAGCATGCACACCAACTATGGGGGTGCGCTCCTTTGTCAAGCTCTGGTTCACTCCTAAGCATCCTTCCAACACTAAAACATCACGTTTATTGGACTGACCATTTGGGATGTTAAAAACATTCACTGTACGTATGTCTTAAGCATTTGCACAAATTCAACAAATAATTACCATATTTTTTGTAATATAATTATCTCCTATGGTTGTCAGCACCACCTAGTGACCATAATATGGTATTTTTTTTTAACTGAGTTGTTCCAGAAAATGACTGCATTATGGCCACTAGATGGAGATGATGACCATAGGTAATAACCATATTACAAAAACTGCGGCAGTCATTTGTTGTGCCTGTACAACAAGGCCAACATTTTATATATAGAACCCGTTCTGTTTTTGTTGTCAGAGCAATAAAAGATTAATTCTGATTGGTTGTCATGAGTTTTTTCCATTTAGTACATACATTCCCCCATCTTGCTGAATACAAATGAAAGTGGTCATGACAACTTTAAAGTGTTACTAAACCCAGGACCTTGCATGTACTATATCTGGTCTCCCACAGTACACACAATATGGAAATGCAATTATCTTAGTAAATATAAACTGCTAAATACCTTTTCTCATCAGAAGCTAGAGCAGTCTTTTGGCTTCTATCAGTGTCCAGCCCAGCACTAGCTAAAGCTTGTAGGAGGAGTATTCTTTTTGCTGTAGGAGGATAGAAATCCCCTGACCTCTATCTGGACAGTGCTGATTGGCCCTGTGCTGATCACATGCACTCTCCCAAGAAAAAAAAAAACCTTTCTAGCAATACACACCAAACTGAGCACGTGCATGCCTACGGTTCAGTCTGGAGATAAGTGGTGGTTGCTTGAAAAAGGAGATGAACAGACAAGTCAGGATCAAACAGCCTTTTTACACAATGCAGTGGATTAACCCCTTAGGTTCCACAGTGAATATAACAAGCATGCTTTACTGCATATACAGACTGATTTTACTGTTGAGGGTAACACTTTAAGGCCAGGAAAAGGAAAAACACAAAGTTCATTTTCCATGCCGGGTATTTCCTAGATTCCTATCTAAAAGAGAATTTAATTGACCAGTACTTCAAATGATATACAATTATATCGCATAACATGGAAAAGAATCGCAAGTGTCAATAAATTCTTCTCAGCTTAAGCAAAAAGAATTATTTTGTCAATATTGGTGGTAATAAGTCACCTTGTTGTGAGTAATGAAGAGAGCTTTTATTTAGAAATTCAATTAGCTCTTTCACTGACTGGTATCTAATTGCCAACTTTAAGATGCTCATAAATATCAGAGTATAGGATTGTTAAATGCAGGCTGAGACATCCGTGTAGTTAACGGAGTGTGTAAAATGCGTTTGTCGGTAATGCACATAAGCTTTTATTTATCTCTCCTGGTGATAAGTACCTGAGAGTGTTGGGGAATTGCTGGGAAGGAACTTTGCTTTGATTACTATTATTATGAAGAAAAACTAAATATTGAAGACTGCAGTCTGCCTTGTAATGTGCATTCATTACTGTTATGTGCAGGTGAGGCAGTATAACAAAAGACAAGGGATGCTCAGACATTTATTCCTCCTTTATTTAGGAGCGAGTCTAGTGCTGCACAGCAGGGGCGTCCCTAGGGTTGGTGTCACACGGTGCCGGAACACTTGGTGACACCCCCTCTGACGATCACCGCAGGATGCATTGGATCTGCGGATTGAGCATAATGGATCGGAGTCTGATTCATTATCCTCCCTAATCCACAGATCCGATCCATCCTGCGGGGATCGTCGACTTGCAACCTACACGGGGTTAACCGATCTCTCCACAAAAAGGTAAGTTTTAAAGCAAGCCGATGATCCCCACAGGATGGATAGGATCTGCGGATTGGGGAGCATAATGGATCAGACTCCGATCCATTATGCTCAATCTGAAGATCTGATCCATCCTGTGGGGATCGTCAGCTTGCTTTGAAACGTACCTTTTCGTGGAGCAGGTCCGGTGTCACCCCGTGCAATAAGTGTCACCCGCTGCGGAGCGCACCCCCCGCACCTGCCTAGGGACACCCCTGCTGCACAGCGCTTACCTACCCATTTTTAAAATGATCAATTCAGCCTAAATCTGTATTTTGGCTGAAATTTTGAATCGGCATTAACGAAAAATTATTTATTGCAGAGATGATGGCGGCCTTATTCACCAGAGGATTGTTCACACTTGCAGTAGCCTTTGCTGCTCCTCTGAAAAGCAATCCACTATGGATCCCTTTTCATAGGGCAGTTGACAGGCGGCTGGAGGGTGATATGTCTCCTACTCACCACCTGTTTTAATCATGAAAAGCCCGCATCACTGCTCCACAATTGCATGCACTACACATGGTTGTAGTGTCCTTGTATAGCAGCCCCATTCACTTAAAGTGCTGTGTTTGGTGGTGGTACTGCTCGCTGAACTCGACATCACATGTACCACTCCATCCAGCCGCCATTGAAGCCTAAAGGATAAGTTCACCTTTTGCAACATGTTTCATGTTACACCAGGCGCAGACTGACAACTCATGGGGCCCCCGGGCAATAGGGGATCATGGGGCCCCTGTGTCCTTGCCCAAACTCAAAAAAGCCTATGAAAAAGGTACCAGGGGCATCTCATGGGGCCCCCTACTGACCCTGGGCCCTCAGGCAGTGCCCGAGTTTCCAAATGGTCAGTCCGCCCCTGTGTTACACCCATATTCAGGGTGTAACGTAACATGTTATGATCAGACCGGCCCTCGCACCCCCCGATTGTGACAGCTAGCGAGGGATCATCTCCTTCCCGCTAGCTGCCACAATTTTAAAAAAACATGGCCGTGCAGAGCTCCACCTTCCCGGCCGCGTCACTCATTCACAGTATTCTGTGAATGAGAAAACTACAATTTCCAGCAGCCTTTTCTTGTAGTTTTCAATGAACTACCATGGCGGGGCACAGCACCATGGTAGTTCAATGAGCCTTCCTGTCAGTAGTATCTGCTTGCCCATATGGAGCAAGCAGATATACAGACAGGTCAGGGGAAGATCTGCATTGCATCACCGATCTGCTGATCGCTGGTGCAATGCTTTAGAGGCTCCACAAACAAAAAATAATAAATGCACATTTTTTTACTTGCAAAAAATAAAAAAGTGCGCATTTTATTTTTTTTTGTTAAAAGGTGAACTTATCATTTAATATGGTTGTAAACCTCAGACATGAAATACAATCAAAGCATAACCCCCTATAGTGTGTACTTGTCTCAATTCAGAGCGCTATGTGTTATTTCTGTTTGCTGCCTCATTCCTCTGCTATCAGCATGAGTCACTTCTGACAAGTTTTCCTGACACCAAGAGAAAAATGGTGACCGGAAGGATTGATTGTGATTTACAGCCTCAACTCCTGTTCCTGTGAGCTGTGTGCAGGGGGATGTGTCTCTTCCCTTCAATCAGCTTTCCTCACTGAGCTCTGCAGAGTGTAACTTCAGCTCTACGCCCCTCTCCCATCGTTTTCTGAATTGTCAGACAAGCTTTATAAATTCAGCCATTTGAATGGATTTAGAGAATAAAATACCTCAGATAAACAGGTACAACTTATGTAGGAGGATTCATTTAATCTCTGTGCATCACCTGAGGCTAGTCACTTCACAGGGTATATGTAAGGGTTTACAACTACTTTAAGGTGGCCGATTGTGGAATAGGGCAGGTAAAACCTCAGCTTGTCTGCCTATTTTTACCATACCCCAGCTTAAGTGTGAACAAGGCCTAACATGGTTTAACAGGCCTAACATCTCTCAAAAGGCTCTTGAAAAGAGATATCTGTATGTACACTGGTTCACAACGTCATCCACCAGTTCATTTCAGCCAAATACTCTTTTTTTTTCTTTTTTTTTTCTTTATTGCTTCATGCATCCCCATTGGGAAGATTTCTTAATAAATGTTCCAGAAACTGCAAGCAATGCTTCTGATTTTGTAGCTCCTGATTATCTGGCTCCCAGGAGGTGATAGCCTGCACCTCAGGCAAACATACATAGTTGCTCATTAGCATACAGGAAGATTTTCCAACTTGTCAGCCGTCATTCCCAGGGAGAATCTTTGGCCATCCTATGGGACATCTGCAATCCACTAATCATATATAATTGTCTATAGGATCACTACCGAAAACAATTTTATGATTGGAATTAGCAAATATGCCAAATGTGAATTAGTCTATTCATTAGATGAAAACACCAAAATAATGTGAGCAAATCAACTCCGAGAAATTCATACATTTGTAGAATACAGTACATTGTGAATTTCCCTAAACATACCAGCACTTGCCAACCACTATTGCAAACGATCAGAAAATCCATCTTGTCAGTGGTCAGTCATCTGTGTTCACAAGACGTCACTGGCTGATTAACACTACAATACCTATATAACTTTTTAAAGCGGAGCTCCACCCAAAAGGGGACATTCCACTTTAAGGACTTGTCCTCTGTTCCCTGTGAGAAATTGGTACTTTTGGGGAGTGGAGGCGTTTACCCGATCTTGACAGGTACCAGCTCCCATTTCCGTTTTGACTGCCTATCAGTCGGAAGCAGAAGTTGTCCCCCCTCCCACCTCCTCGCAGTCTTCTTGGACACGTGACAGATCCCATAAGACTACGGGACCATTCACAAGGCATAGTGCTACTCACGCATGCGCAGTGGGCACCCGGCTGTGAAGCCTCAAGCAGTCACAGCCGGGTGCCCACACTTAAGATGTCGGCGCTTGTGACGGAAGTCACTTTGGGTGGGGAATCCAACTCACTTTGGAGAGGTGGGGAGACCCCTGTCTCAGCTCCCCATATCCCTATTATGTGTAAGTCACCCTGTGCCTGTTAAGGGTACAGGGTGATCTGTCCTAATAGTGTGTGTAGACATGTATAGGTGGGGTGGAGGTTGTGGATTGTTTGGTGTTATGGGGCTGCATCCCATTGTTCACTTGTTTGTCAGGCTTGGGAGCAAACTATTATGGGATGTATGTGTTTATGTGTATTGGCTTGGTGGGGGGTGTCTCCAGCAGCTCTCCTGGTGGGACTGTCTGCTGGTGTATCTCTTGTTACTAAATGTAGATTGCCCCAGCCTGTATCATTATGCAGGGAGGGGGGATTGTCCCCTTGTCCTCTGAGTGTATATATCTTATATCTATGTTCAGAAAAACTAATCTACCTTCTGGATTACTTCAAGATTGGTGTCGTTTAGTCTTGTATGGTCAGCTGTGGTGTCTGTTGTCGGTGTTCGGACGGGGAAGCGGTATTCTAATGGAAGTACCCAAGCGCAGTCTGGGTCGGTTCCATTACAGCGGCTGGCCGGTGAACCCGACTGGTGTGAACACACCACTGGATCGTAGGACAGGTGAGTAGCTGTGTCTTAAAAGTCAGCAGCTATAGTTTTTGTAGCTGCTGACATTTTTTTTCAGATCTGACTGTAACTCCACATTAAGTATATTACTTATTTGTTGCCTCAGTGAGTTAAGAAAACAAAATGCCTACAGCGATCATTTTAAAGTGTTTGTATAATCCAAACTTTTTTTTAGAAAGCAGGAAAGGGTTAAAACCCTTTTCAGTTTATTTATTAATTTATTTATAGCTATCTGTGTGCCATTGTTCAGATTTTCCTTCACTTCCTGTCCCAGAACACAACAGGAAGTTAGAAGAAATCTCTACAAAGTCAGGTGAGTTGCCTTCCTAGAGTGTTATCTCTGGAACAGGTGCCCCCATTACAGATTTCCACCCACCGCTTGCTCTGGGACAGCTATAACTTTTCAGGCATGCTGGATATTTTTTCAGAATTCAGTGGTTCTAAAGAGAGAAAGTTTTTTTTATAATGTACTTTATGCATTAAGGTAAAAAAAAATCTGCAAGCAGCTACCCCCCCCTCTCCCTTATGCTTACCTGAGACCAATATCGATCCGGAAATGTGCACAAGAGCAGTGGCAGTCCTGGCTCTCTCCCTCCTCATTAGACAAAGAGGTAGCAGGCCATTAGCTCCCACTGCTGTCAATCACAGTCAGTAAGGAGGGAGTAGGGGGTGGGGCCGAGTTGGATTTGTGTGTCAATGGGCACACAGAGGTAGCTCTGGAGTGAGCCCACACAAGTGTCCTCAGAGCAAGTGGCTTGCTATGGTGGCGCTCGGGAAAGGGGGGGGGGTGGAGCAAGGAGCGCCAGTGGGGGACCCAAGAAGAAGAGGATCTGGGCTGCTCTGTGCAAAACCACTGCACAGAGCAGGTAACTATGACTTTCTTACCTTTAGAATCACTTTAAGACCATGTTGTGACATATTAAGCAAAGAAAATGTTTAACCATATTTATTTTAACACATGGAATGATAAATATACTTGAAATTAAGCATATCTGATTAACTGTGCATTTGTGGCATAGACAGACTGGTGCTATTAGTTCTCTGCCAGTGGCTTTTGGTTCCAAAAAGTAACAATAGTAACATTTTACATTCTGCTCAAAAGCGATATTCTGCAGATAGCGATAAAGCGCTCCTTCACACTTAAGTTTTAGATGTGCAGCTCAATGTACAAATCTAGCATCTGCCAAGTGCTGGGATATACAGTATGAACTCAAAAACTAGTCCTGGCCAGCTCAGTAGATTGTTTTAAAAATAGCTGAATGCATTCCTAAATGCACAAAATATAACTGGATATTAGTTTAATAGGTAATAACACCAGAGATTGTTGATTCAGGGGTCAGGAAGGAATTTTTCCCCTGCTGGAGCAAATTCAGTCATGTTTTATTGTTTTTTTTGCCTTCCTATGGATCAACTATGGGTATAGGATTATGTACAGTTGCAAGAAAAAGTATGTGAACCCCTTGGGATTACGTGGAGTTTTGCATGAATTGGGCATAAAATGTGCTCTGAACGTCATCTAAGTCACAACAATAGAAGAACACAGTCTGTTGAACATAATACTACACAAACATTAGATGTTGCCATGGTTTAATTGCACATAACATGTAAACATTCACAGTGCAGGGAGGAAAAAGTATGTGAACCTTTGGACTTAATAACTGGTTGACCCTCCTTTGGCAGCAATAACCTCAACCAAACATTTCCTGTAGTTGCAGATCAGACCTGCACAACGATCTGGAGTAATTTTGGACCACTCCTCTTCACAAAACTGTTTCAGTGTAGCAATATTCTTGGGATGTCTGGTGTGAATCGCTCTCTTAAGGTCATGCCACAGCATTTCAATCAGGTTGAGGTCAGGACTCTGACTGGGCCACTCCAGAAGGCGTATTCTGTGCTGTTGCAGCCATTGTTTTGTTGAATTACTTGTATGCTTTGGGTCATTGTCCTGTTGCATCACCCATCCTTTGCGGAGCTTCAGTTGGCGGACAGATGCTCGTACATTTTCCTGCAAAATCTCTTGATAAACTCTGGGATTAATTTTCCCATCAATGACAACAATTCGTCCAGGCTCTGAGGCAGCAAAGCAGCCGCAAACCATGATGCTCCCTCCGCCATGTTTTACAGTGGGGATGAGGTTTTGATGTTGGTGTGTGCTGTGCCTTTTTTTCTCCACACATAGTGTTGTGTGTTCTTCCCAAACAACTCAATCTTGGTTTCATCTGTCCACAGTATATTTTGCCAGTAGTGCTGTGGAACATCTAGGTGCTCTTTTGCAAACTTCAAACGTGCTGCAATATTCTTTTTGAACAGCAATGGCTTCCTCCGTGGTGTCCTCCCATGTACTCCATTCTTGTTTAATGTTTCCTTATTGTAGATGTGTCAACAAAAATGTTAGCATGTGCCAGAGATTTCTGTAGGTCTTTAGCTGACACTCTGGGATTCTTCTTTACCTCATGCAGCATTCTGCGCTGTGCTCTTGCAGTCATTTTTACAGGACGACCACGCCTAGGGAGAGTAGTAACAGTGCTAAACTTTCTCTATTTGTAGACAGTCTGTCTTACCGTGGACACATGAACATCAAGGCTTTTGGAGATACTTTTGTAAACCTTTCCAGCTTCATGCAAGTCAACATTTCTTGATTGTAGGTCTTCTGAGAGCTCTTTTCTGCGAGGCATGGTTCACATCAGACAGTGCTTCTTGAAACCAGTAAACCCAAAACAGGTGTGTGTTTTTTAAGGGCAGGACAGCTGTCAGCAACACATCCAATATCATCACACTGATTGGAGTCAAGGTTGGCTCACTCCTGGCTCCAATTAGCTCTGGGAGAAGTCATTAAGCTAGGGCCTCACATACTTTTTCCTCCCTGCACTGTGAATGTTTACATGTTATGTGCAATTAAACCATCGCAACATCTAATGTTTGTGTAGTATTATGTTCAGCAGACTGTGTTCTTCTATTGTTGTGACTTAGATGATGTTCAGAGCACATTTTATGCCCAATTCATGCAAAACTCCACGTAATCCCAAGGGGTTCACATACTTTTTCTTGCAACTGTATATGGAGGTTTTATATTTTTTTATTGGTTGAACAAGATGGACTTGTGTCTTTTTTCTACCTGGCTAGCTACAGTATGTAACTATGTCCTCCATGCTGGCCAATCAAGATAGCATTGCACCCAGAAGATGCCAGGAAAAAGATTTGGCGCCAGCAAGGGAGCTTTTGGATATTGCACCACTGGAGTGGAGGTGTATTTTCAGCCTTTAAATCTGATTGAACTCATAACCTTTTTAACTATAACTGTTAAACTGACCCCTTCTTCCATTATTAAACCCCTCAACTAGTGTCTTAACTTGCACCTCCCCTTAAGCAAATGTGTAAATAGATGTAGTGAAAACAAAGGCATAAACATAAAACATGTGACCAACTCGTCGACTTTTATCCTGTGACGTCACGAGTGATTGATGACTGGGATCCATGGGGATGGGAAGAGAATCCTCAGATCTTTGTAAGCTCTGAGTGGTGCAGGCCTTACACAGGATGTCTTATTTCATCTCCCAGCAGCTGACTAGAGTGGCAGGGGAGCAAAGGAAAGGAAAGGTGAGTAGGTATTGCTGGGGAGGAGGGAATTAAAGAAAACCTGTTGCTTGTCCTTCATAGGCAAAACATAGGTTTGTTTTAAAATTTCAACTTTTAATTCTGAGTTGCAAAGGTGAGCTGATGTTGTAAAGACATGACTTCAGACTATCAACATATCAGGTACAACACCAGACCACCCAATTCAATATAATTTTTTTATGCATTCTTTATTTAAAGATTATACATTACAGAAAAAACATATAGAAAGTATGTTCAGTAACAACAGTAACATGTAAATGAATGTAATAACAACAGGTTCAGTTTTGGGCCCCTTTTTAAAATATATTTATAAACAATATAGGGTCTGGGCTTAAAAGTACCATTTCAGTCTTTGCAGATGACACCAAGCTGTGCAGTGGAATAACGTCCTTACAGGATATCTCCGATTTAAAAGCCAACCTCAATGCACTGTTCAATTGGGCAACTATGTGGCAAATGAGGTTTAATGTTGATAAATGTAAGGTTATGCAATTGGGAGCTAAGAATATGCATGCATCATACATACTAGGGGGGGTACAACTGGGGGCAGGGGCGGACTGACCATTTGGAAATTCGGGCACTGCCAGAGGGCCCGGGGTCAGTAGGGGGCCCCATGAGATGCCCCGGTACCTTTTTCATAGGCTTTTTTGAGTTTGGGCAAGGAGAGGGCCCCATGATCCCCTATTGCCCGGGGGCACCATGAGTTGTCAGTCCGACCCTGACTGGGGGAATCAATGGTGGAGAAGGATCTGGGAGTTGTGGTAGATCATAAGTTTAATAATGGCATGCAATGCCAAGCTGTGGTTTCCAAAGTGAGAAAAATCCTCTCTTGGATTAAAAGAGGTATAGACGAGAGAGAGAGAGAGAGAGAGAGAGAGAGAGAGAGAGAGAGAGAGAGAGAGATCATTTTACCCCTGTACAAATCATTAGTAAGTCTTCAGTTCGGTTTTGGGCACCAATTCACAAAAAGGATATCGGGGAACTAGAGAAAGTGCAGAGAAGGGCAACCAAACTGACAAGAGGCATGGAAGAGCTTGGCTTTGAGGAAAGATAAGAGGAAGAGGGGACACTCTTTACATCTGGAGGAAAAGAAATGTAACCTCCAAATACGGAAAGGTTTCTTTACAGTAAGAGCTATGAAAATGTGGAATAGACTCCCTCAAGAGTTGGTTCTGGCCAGCTCCGTAGTTTGCTTTAAAAAAGGCCTGGATTCTTATTTGGATACACAGAATATAACTGGATACTAACATTTATAGGTAAAGTTGATCCAGGGAATATCCGATTGCTTCTTGGGGGATCAGGAAAGCATTTTTCCCCTGCAGGAGCAAATTGGAGAATGCTTTGCTGTTTTTTTTGCCTTCCTCTGGATCAACTGTGGGTATAGGATTATAACTTTTTTTTTTTTATATGGTTGAACTGGATGGACTTTTGTCTTTTTTTAGCCAGACTAACTATGTAACTGAATGTATTCTCTCTTGAGAAGAGGAGATTAAGGGGGGATATGATCAACATGTATAAATACATAAGTGGTCCATATAGTGAACTTAGTGTAGAGTTATTCACTTTAAGATCATCACAGAGGCCAAGCGGGCACTCTTTATGTCTGGAGGAAAAGAGATATAATCTCCAAATACAGAAAGGCTTCTTCACAGTACAGTAGAGCTGTGAAAATGTGGAATATACTCCCTGAAGAGCTGGATCTGACCAGCTCAGTAGATTGCTTTAAAAAGAGTCTGTATTCTTTCCTAAATGTGCAAAATATAACTGGATACTAGCATTTATAAGTAAAGTTGATCCAGGGAATATACAGGGAATATCGGATTGTCTCTCGGGGGTCAGGAAGGAAATTTTTCCCCTGTTGGAGCAAATTGGGTCATGCTGGGGTTTTTGTCTTCCTATAGATCAACTGTAGGTATAGGGTTGTGTATATAGGATTTTATACATTTTAAAAAACTTTTTTCCCTTTTTATTGGTTGAACCAGATGGATTTGCGTCTTTTTTCAACCAGACAAACTATGTAACAGTAATATAAAAATGTTTCATAGTATGGATAATGAGATAACATAAAGGATAATAAAATAACATTGTACAATCAAGGAAGAGAAAAACTAAATGGTGATGATCAGTATTTGAGTGAAAAATTCAGTACGGGTCATAATAATTTAAAAAAAGGGGGGAAGGTAAAAAGAAGGGGTGGGGGTGGGAGTGAAGTTAAACCCCCTGATCCAGCCAGGAAGATATTCAGGTCTATATACAGTTGCAAGAAAAAGTATGTGAACCCCTTGGGATTACGTGGAGTTTTGCATGAATTGGGCATAAAATGTGCTCTGAACGTAATCTATGTCACAACAATAGAAGAACACAGTCTGCTGAACATAATACTACACAAACATTAGATGTTGCCATGGTTTAATTGCACATAACATGTAATCATTCACAGTGCAGGGAGGAAAAAGTATGTGAGGCCCTAGCTTAATGACTTCTCCCAGAGCTAATTGGAGCCAGGAGTGAGCCAACCTTGACTCCAATCAGTGTGATGATATTGGATGTGTTGCTGACAGCTGTCCTGCCCTTAAAAAAACACACACCTGTTTTGGGTTTACTGGTTTCAAGAAGCACTGTCTGATGTGAACCATGCCTCGCAGAAAAGAGCTCTCAGAAGACCTACGATCAAGAATTGTTGACTTGCATGAAGCTGGAAAGGGTTACAAAAGTATCTCCAAAAGTCTTGATGTTCATGTATCCATGGTAAGACAGACTGTCTACAAATGGAGAAAGTTTAGCACTGTTGCTACTCTCCCTAGGCGTGGTCGTCCTGTAAAAATGACTGCAAGAGCACAGCGCAGAATGCTGCATGAGGTAAAGAAGAATCCCAGAGTATCAGCTAAAGACCTCAGAAATCTCTGGCACATGCTAACATTTTTGTTGACACATCTACAATAAGGAAAACATTAAACAAGAATGGAGTACATGGGAGGACACCACGGAGGAAGCCATTGCTGTCCAAAAAGAATATTGCAGCACGTTTGAAGTTTGAAAAAGAGCACCTGGATGTTCCACAGCACTACAGGCAAAATATACTGTGGACAGATGAAACCAAGATTGAGTTGTTTGGGAAGAACACACAACACTATGTGTGGAGAAAAAAAGGCACAGCACACCAACATCAAAACCTCATCCCCACTGTAAAACATGGCGGAGGGAGCATCATGGTTTGGGGCTGCTTTGCTGCCTCAGGGCCTGGGCGGATTGTTGTCATTGATCGGAAAATGAATTCCAGAGTTTATCAAGACATTTTGCAGGAAAACGTACGAGCATCTGTCCGCCAACTGAAGCTCCGCAGAGGATGGGTGATGCAACAGGACAATGACCCAAAGCATACAAGTAATTCAACAAAACAATGGCTGCAACAGCACAGAATACGCCTTCTGGAGTGGCCCAGTCAGAGTCCTGACCTCAACCCGATTGAAATGCTGTGGCATGATCTTAAGAGAGCGATTCACACCAGACATCCCAAGAATATTGCTACACTGAAACAGTTTTGTGAAGAGGAGTGGTCCAAAATTACTCCAGATTGTTGTGCAGGTCTGATCTGCAACTACAGGAAACGTTTGGTTGAGGTTATTGCTGCCAGAGGAGGGTCAACCAGTTATTAAGTCCAAAGGTTCACATACTTTTTCCTCCCTGCACTGTGAATGTTTACATGTTATGTGCAATTAAACCATGGCAACATCTAATGTTTGTGTAGTATTATGTTCAGCAGACTGTGTTCTTCTATTGTTGTGACTTAGATGACGTTCAGAGCACATTTTATGCCCAATTCATGCAAAACTCCACGTAATCCCAAGGGGTTCACATACTTTTTCTTGCAACTGTATATGAGACATTATATAGGCAATGAGCGATATAAAGTTAATGTTTGCTAAGGGCTTTCCAAAGAGGAGGGGGAAGAGTCTGTTAGTATTGCATGGTTGGGTGTCTTGGTGAATTGTTTTGGGCAGCAGTCATGATCAATCCTCTCTAAGTAGTATAAATAATCAATTCCTTCTACATAAAACAGCACATGAAATATAAATTATGAACAGAAGCTCATATGCATATATGCATTTAATATAGTTAAAGGAAGAGATATAAACTAGTCCATCTGAACTAAGAAGTGGGAAAGAGAAGTAGAACAGCTGCTAATTACACATCCTGCTTTAGTCCTAGATTTATAATATTTAGGTCAATCTATGATACATTTTTAATAGTATTGCTCTGGAAATGAAGAATTGAGAAATTAGACCATACCTTCCATAAAGTCTTGACCAGCGAGCGTATAACAAGCATTTGCAGAGCCTAGAGGGAGCACCGCAGCTTTTCTTTCCTGTTGTGGCATTAATGATTTCCAGGTCAGGACTTCCCACTGTCCAGTTGATGCTGAAATTTGGTGATTTTCCTGGTGGTCGAGGTTCAGCATTACTAACTCCTGCCAAAGAAAAAATAAAAAGCTGAAATGCTGTGTATGGGATCACAAAATATTCCAAAATACTACTGTGTTTAACACTCTTTATAGTAAGTAGTACATGAATATCAATTTTCCAAGTCTAGAAATGAGACACATTTTAGTCCTTTCATTGATAGCATCCTTTTCTTCCACACTTCTAAGTCACACTTCCCATCCTTTCTTATAGTGAAAGCATAGCGAGTTCCACTTCCAGGACAGCTTCAGGCATATAAATTGTAAGATGAAGCAACAAATAACTGCTCCATCACTGTATAACCTCCACATGTTACCATGTATATATACAATATATGACTGAATCTTCCTTGGCACAGCAGGAAATAGGCCACATCTAATAGCAAACAAGCAAGGGTAGATAAAATATAAAATTTTCTGTTTAAAACTTAAAATCAGTTTAGGTACACTTATGCAGGCCATAGACGGGGAGAAAACCGGATGGTTTTTTAACAAAAAAACGAAAAATCGGTCGTTCAATAGGCTGACGTTACCACCAACAGTAAAAAAAAATCGTCCGATTTTCATCCCGTCTACGGCCGGCATTTAATTACTTCTGTCCCTGCAGAGAGCCCCGCTATTATATTTGACATTAAAAAGTATTGTGATTGAAACAATGTATCTATATGTATCCATTTCGGATACAGATGTTTTTTCCGGATACAAATAGACACATTGTTGCAACCACAATACTTTTTAATGTAAAATATAATAGCGGACTGGAATTCTTCTTCTTCTTTCTCTTCTTTTCTTCTTCTTTTCTTCTTCTTCTTTTTATTTTTTTTCTACTTCTTCTTCTTTTTCTTGCAGGTCACAGCTCATGCGCAGATTTTTTATCTGTAAAAAGATCGGCCGATTTGCCCATCATTGCCGCGAAAATCGGCCGATCGGCAAAATCGGACGCTTTTTTTCCAACTTTACCGATCAAAAAAATCTGACAAAATCCAGAAAAACGGCCAACCATTAACGGTGCGAAAATCGTCCGATTTTTTTTTTCGGCTGAAAAATCGGCCGATTTTCGACCCATCTATGGCCTGCATAAGTAAAAAGACAGACATTACTCCTTATACTGTTTTAACTTATCAACACCAATGCATGAATTGATGTATGCGTTTGCCCATTGATACACTATAATGACAAAAGTATTGGGACACCCCTCCAAATATTTGGATTCAGGTGTTCGAATCACCTCCAATGCCACAGGTGTAAAAAAATCAAGTACCTAGGCATGCAGACTGCTTATACAAACATTTGTGAAAGAATAGGTCACTCAAGAGCCCACCTGTGCAATCAGTCCATCTGTGCAAATTCCTTGCTATTAAATATTCCACGGTCAACTGTTAGTGGTATTATAACAAAGTGAAAGCAACTGGGAACAACAGCAACTGAGCCTCAAAGTGATAGGCCACGTAAAATGACAGAGTGGGGTCACTGCATGCTGAAGCGCACAGTGCGCAGAAGTTGCCAACTGTCTGCAGAGTCAATAGCTAAAGACCTCCAAACTTCATGTGGCCTTCAGATTAGCACAACAATAGTGCATAGAGAGCTTCATGGAAAGGGTTGCCATGGCCGAACAGCTGCATCCAAGCCTTACATCACCAAGTGCAATGCAAAATGTAGGGTGCAGTGATGTAAACCACGTCGCCACTGGACTCTAGAGCAGTGGAGACGTGTTCCCTGGAGTAACGAATCACACTTCTCTGTCTGGCAATCCGATGGACATGTCTGGGTTTTGTGGGTTCCAGGAGAACGGTACTTGCCTGACTGCATTGTGCCAAGTGTAAAGTTTGGTGGAGGGGGGATTATGGTGTGGAATTGTTTTTCAGGAGCTGGGCTTGACCCCTTGGTTCCAGTGAAGGGAACTCTTAAGTCGTCAGCATACCAAGACATTTTGGACAATTTCATGCTCCCAACTTTGTGGGAACAGTTTGGGGATAGCCCCTTCGTGTTCCAACAGTGGTGGAGTGTTCACCAGTGCACAAAGCAAGGTCTGAAAAGACATGGATGAGCGAGTCTGGGGTGGAGGAACTTTACTGGCCAGTCCTGACTTCAACCCAATAGAACACCTTTGGGATGAATCAGAGCGGAACCTGCGAACCAGGCCTTCTCGCCCAACTTTAGAGCCTGACCACACAAATGCGCTTCTGGAAGAATGGTCAAACATTCCCATAGACACACTTTTAAATCTTGTGGACAGCCTTTCCAGAAGAGTTGAAGCTGTTTTAGGTGCAAAGGGTGGGCAAACTCAATATTGAACCCTACAGACTAAGACTGGGATGCCATCAAAGTTCATGTGTGTGTAAAGGCAGGCGTCCCAATACTTTTGGCAATATAGTGTATGTTATGCCCATCCATTTTCAAAGGGCCCTTAATGTGCATTTGTGGGCCTATCTATGGCACACTGAAGGGCAGCTGTATTTTTTTAATCTATATACAAGGAAGGATCAGTCATAACATTAAAGTGGTTGTAAACCTCACATATGCAATATGAACAAATAACATCCATCTATACTGTGTACTTGTCTCTATCCACAGCAATTGTACATTTTCTCTGCTGCCTCCTTCCTCTGTCCATCTGCATTACTTTTGACAGCTTCTTCTGCTGTCACGAGATAATTGGTGATGGGGAGGAGAGCTCCAGCACACAGCCTGTGCCTGACAGCTACAGCTGTACATGTTGCCATGTACTGTGAGGAGGGGGTGGTGCTCAGAGTTCTCACCATTGAGCTCCTTAGTTTGAGACTTCAGATCCCTGTGCCATTCTTTTCAGAGATGAGACATTCAGTGTAAAGGTGTCATGTAAAATGTGTGTATTGGAAGGCCGTAGAGAAGAGAGGGCTGCAGATAAACAGGTTCAACTTATGCAAGAGGATTTTTTTTTCATTTCTCTGTATTATCTGAGACCAATCACTTCACTAGGTATATGTAAGGGGTTTCAACCACTTTAAGATCACTGACAAGTAAATTGAATAACATTGATTCTTTGTTTTAATGGCATGGGATACATTAGGCAGTAAGTAAACATATTGCCCCTGAAGTTGATGTGTAGAAAAAAAAAAAATGGTCAAGCATAAGGATATGAGTGACTTTGACAAGGGCCAAATTGTAATAACTAGACCCATACTGACCCGTGTCCACAGACAAAAGTGCCTACAATCGGCATCAGAACTGGAATATGGATCAATGGAAGAAGCTGGCTTGGTCTGATACATCACATTTTCCTTTTACATCATGTGGATGGCCAGGTACATGTTCACTGTTTACGTGGGGAGGAGATGGCACCAGGATGCAGTATGGGAAGAAAGCAAGCCAGTGGAGGCATTGTGATGCTTTGAGCAATGTTTTGCTGGGAAAAACCTTGGCTCCTGCCATTCATATGTATTTACGTGATACATATCACCCACCTAAACATTGTTACTAAGTACGCTCCTTCATGAAAATGGTATTCCCTGATGGCAGTGGCATCTTTCAGTAAGATGATGTACCCTGCCACACTGCAAAAATGGTTCAAGAATGGTTTGAGGAACACAGCAATGAGTTCAAGGTGTTGACAATGCCAACACTCTCCAGAACAACTCCAAATTCTCCATATCTCAATCCAATTAAGCATCTGTGGGATGTGTTGGAAAAACAAGTCTGATCCATGGAGGCCCCACTTTGCAGCTTACAGGACTTAAAAGATCTGCTACTGAGAGCTTGGTGATAGATACCACATCATACCTTCAGATGTCTAGTGGCATCCATGCCTTGATGGGTCAGGGCTGTTTTGGCAGCAAAAGAAGGACCTACTCAATATTAAATGGGTCACCATAATGTTATGGCTGAAGAAGTGTGTATGTGCATTAGGGGTGCCACTAAAAAAGAATGGCACTTCAACACACATACACATCGATGCAACACATGAAAATATCTTTCACATTAAAATGCTATTCTTTCACATCTGGAATGTTCACATTGTTGATGTATTTTATGTAGTATAGTAAGGGAAACTATAAGGACCCAATCACATATACACATGCAACCATGCACACTCTAACCTGAGCACATAAAGAGGCCCTTAAGGACAGCTTACACTTATGTGTTTTAATGCATGAAGATGCATTTTCAGGGAGGAATTACAAAATCCCAAAAAGGGCAGTCTTTTGTGCCAATTCACATACTTTATTAATATATACATATCTGTATTTTAAAAGAGTAAACAAAGAGAAGCATTTACTTTCAAAACAAAAACGATGGCCCCATCAAATATTCTAACAGTTGCACTGGACACCTGTCCTACCTATACACTGGTATAGACACAACCATTGATGATGAGACAAAGCTACAAGGTAAAGGAAACCCATATTTGCTTTAGTTAGTTTCATTCTAAATTTCAAGTAATTCCCAAATTTCAATGATTTTTTTAGAACATATTTCATTTAAAACACACAGTATCTAGGTGTTGAGATAGAGGAGATCAAGAGTTGTTGAAGGGAACACGAAGTGAAGTCAAAGACTACAGATGACAACAGAAGGCATCTCTCTGATATATAATAATGATGTTTTTTGCGTTTAAAAACAAAATGGTAAAGGGCAACCCACCACTTTAAACACTGTATATTTAAGTATAGGGTTTTCACCTGAAAAGCCAGGCAAAGTTATGTTCTGTTTTACAGTATTAATGACCTATTATGTATTGATTATCCCCAGGTTCATGATGAAAGCATCAAATTCCATTGCAACATCTGGCAATTAAAATGCTAAGCGACGTATTCCTTCTTTTTTTCCATTTGGACTGTTTAACTGGAGATATGAACCTATCTTACAAAAGTTAAATAATTGCTGTCAAATTTCCTGTCTTGAATCAGATATGATCTGAGCTGATTCAATGCTGGTGGCTGCGAGAGCTTTATTCACACTGCTCGCGTGACATTTCCCATCACATCATTACTTAATGAGCCGCCATGTCCAACAGACACTGCCTGTTTTGCTGGCATTTTGCAGGATATTAATAGAAAATGCTGTTTAATGATGGCAGTACAAATGCTCCCATCTACATATTACAAAAGGACGTGTGTCAGCCGCGCATGAGGGTGGCGGTATGCTGTTTCCATGGTGCCGGGCTTGTTGTAGCTTTAATAGAAACCTGGAAAATGATTCGATGGATTTGAAGAAACACAAGGTTTGTGATAATGGCGCTTTTCATATATGCTATGTTTTTAAGTAATTATAAAGGGATATAATAATGAAGTGGAAACAAGTGATGTGTAGCAAGAATAAAAGAGCAATGCCAATCAACAGGTGGAACCAATATGTAAACTGTTATCCAGCAAACACTGAAACTGTGCTAATGACAGAATGTACATAGGATTTACTAAAAAACTAAACTCCATGCTGGAAAAAACTCACCACAAACGTGAAATGCTTAAAAAGTCTAGGGGGTACAGGAATAAAGAGTGATACTTTTTTTTATTCCTGGATTCAGCAGGCTTCCTCCATCTATGCAGCTAGTCCTGCATTGCCATTTCTCTAAGGCACTCTCAGTCATGGTCACACACCTGACTCCTCTGCGTACAATTGAGGTTTAATAGCCCTGCATTGTATGAAGTAGCACCAAAGGAACCTCTCACAGTCTGAAGTGCCAGGGAGGACAGGACAACTGTAAAGCTGACTGGAACGGGGAGTACGGTAAGTAATAATGCCTCTTCCGGTGCCCCTAGAAGTGACAAATACTTAACCCTTTCAGTAAGGGGGGACCCCACTGCAAAGATATTTTTATTAGAAGATTTAGTTTTAAATGTGAGGTCTGTTTAATCCTCTGTAGTCATATTTTAGAACTTCTCACATGTACGGTGGGAAGATTTGCTTCCTGTAATTTGCGTTGTGTAATGTTATCAGCCTTGGGAATTATCAGTCAGGTTCAGATAGCAGGTTTCAACCTGACTGGTGGCTATGAGAAACCACTTAGCACTGACATACACAAGGCTTTTTATATGACAATAAGCAAATAGTCTACAGGACGTTAATGAAAAAAAAATAAAAAGGGTTCCCAGATCTTCAGATTACTGACAGAAGGCAGTGGAGTGAGCCAGTGCACTACAGCTATAACAGGATATTAAACTGGAGCTATGAACTTGATGACATCAAGATCTCTCCCTCGTCCAATCAGGGAACAACTTGTATTCATTGAAAAAAATACAAGACTTACTCTGAAAGGCAGAAAAAAGAAAACAGGAGCGTGGGATCTATAAATTAAAATAGCACATTTACATTATAGATCCTATATACCAGCATAGATGGTCAGTAGAGGACTAGGGACATCACAGCCAAGGGCTGTGTGAGGTAGCAGTAGATAATCCTGAAGCCAGCTCAAGGGGGACCCACTCTACTTGGCTAGGTCAACACCAACAGCAGTGTCTGCCTCCACCTTATTCCTTGTGGCCCCACTCTATGTCTGACAAAAGGGTGGTAACGCTTTTAAAGGGTTTGACCCTTGAGGGAACACTCTCAAAATATGTTACTGCCCCCTTGACTGATGTAGAGTGTGGCCATGAGAAAAAATGGTGGCTACAGATGCCACTGTCATGTACCTTGGTTGGAGGCCGAGCTAACGAGAGGCTCTAGTCCAAGCACCCCTGAAGGTGGTGACATAGGTAGCAGGCTCAAAGAAGCACGAGTG